TCCTGGCTGAACCCAGCACACCCATTAACTGATGTAATTTAATGTTCCTTATTTCTGGTAAAATTCCTTTTTACTACCTTATTACTTACAACTCATTTTGAAGCTTCAGCCCTTCTGCCTTTATACACTCATGCTATTATTTTTTATTTGCTTTGAGCCAGAAATCTTACTTCTCACTTTTTATATTATTTCCCATCCATTTCCAAATCTCAAACAGTTACTGGGGCATTCTTCGCTGCTGCTTTTTCTCCACCTTTTGAGTTTTTAATACATTTTTCCAGTCATGGTCAGTGGTTTGCCCAGTTTTACCCAACAGATGAGCAGTTCTCCATTCTTTTCTGGTTGCAGTTTCCCCTCGCACAACTGTAAATTTCTGAATATTAAAATAAATACATTTAGTTTCCTTCAGGGTTGTAACTCTACCCACTGTAATTTCAGTGAGTTCCACCTTCTTGCGGACAGAGGTCCTCCATGTCTCTAGCAAATACCCCGTCCTGGTCTCTGTGTGCTGAAAGCTGCTCTCTGACCACCACTCTCATTTGTTTGCCTCCCTCATCCTTCCTGACCTGCAAACACAGACCATCACTTCACAATTATTTTTATCCAGACTACTCAAAAAAAAAAACCAACCCACAAACAAAAAAAGGCATTTTATTCCAACACAGAAACCATAATTTTATTGGAAATAATCAACAGAACAGCAAAAAGTTTTAACTCAGTGCTGCACTATCTGTGTTTGTTGTTACGAAACTGCGCTCTGGTTCAAAGTCCTACAACTGCAGCAGCTTAAAGCTACTTATCAGAAGGTCACAAACAGCATTTTTTTGCTCTTCTTACATACCTTGTGCTAGCAGACCTCCCCACAGGCGGCAAACCTGCTAGTCTGAAAGAGGAAGTGGTGAACAGGCTGTACAAAACTAATCTCTCAGTATGGCACTCTTCTTTTTTTGGCTATTGGTAGCCTAATTTTAGAGGGAGTGGCTTTTTTACTTCATTTCAGTTTACGAGTAGGCTGACTTGTTTTCCCATCATCCGCCTCCCATTCGTTTACCTCTTCCTGTAATTCATCCCCCAGCTCGTAGTCTGAGACTGATTCAGTGTTATCATCCCAGTAATCGGCTTCGGCTTTGTCCAGTAAGTATTTCTGGGGGGTAATGTCATCATCGGGAGGATCCCTTGGTTTCTTCTTCTTCATTTTCTTTTGAATCCTAGGAAGCTGCTGCTCCCGTTCTTCTGTCCAGGCAATGCCTTCTCTATCTCTTGACACTTTCAGTCTTTTGTAGTCCATTATCTGCTTATTCAGCAGTTCATGATCGACACCAAAAAGGTTAGATCGCATGGGTGAAGCCGAAGACTGAGTTGCCGCAGAGAAGGGTTTGCTGTGGGAAGGAAAACAAATGCTGTGGGTTTTTTTCAAAACCCCCCAACCCGTGCATACTTTAAGGGTCACAGTGCTAACTGTGACAACCTGAGTACCACAGGAACAAACTGGAGGCCTCAGTTTGACTTTATTAACACCTTGTGTTCAGCATTGTGCTCCCTGCGTTAGGGGAGAAGAAACACCACCATACCCCGTGCCCAAGGCCAGGCCGTGTATAAACCTCTCATCACCTCAACAGATTGAATGGGAGGAAGCCAATAAAGCAACTAAATTCCCGATGAAACCGCTTGCTCCTGGGAAAAGGGGGACACAGATCACAGTGAGCACCGGACCTGGGAGCCCCAAGGAAGTTTGGCTTCCCTCAGCTCTTGCGACAAGCAGCAGCCTGTGCCCAGAGCACATCAGACAGGCATACGAATGACAGCATACAGCACCTTAAGCCAGATCTAAGTATGACCAGAAAACACAGAGAGAGATGTTAGATGCCCTGTGGGAATGCCTCTCACAACAGTGATTTCCCCCGGAAGATATTTCTGATTTGCACCTGACAAACCGCCCCGTGAGACATGGAAGCACAGGAGGCATTTCCACCCACGAGCGCGAGGCTGTTGGCTTTGAGAGCATCCAGCCCACAGAATCGTTATTCCAAAAGACTGTTCGGCCCTATCCTGCAACAGCCAAAAACCCCTCACAGAATAAGGCTGAATTAACTTAGTTTTTTGTTAAATTAAAGAGATTTAGGAGTAAACTTGGACTCGTGTATAACAATCCAAACTTATACCAGAAAAAAGTGGCCAAGTAGAGAAGTACTGGCAGATCTAGATAGAGCTTTTATCCTCATGAGAAAATTACCACCAAGAAACAATTATCACAAACACACCGAGTCCTGAATTCTTAAGACATTCTAAAAATATTTCCTTCATAAAAGTGAAGGTACTAATACCAGAACAAGTATCGGGCCTGCAAGTAACAAGTCTGATGACTGTGTCACTCCGAATACAGACATGAAATGCAGCTGATTCCTAAGACTGTGCTCTCCTATCAACTTACGGGTCAGCTGCCTCTGAAAGCATACACCCTACGCTGTTACAAGTGACAATTTGGTCATTCTCCACAGCTTAACAGAGGCCCACTTTTATATAAAAGTTGGGCTTTCCCTTCCCCTGTTTGCAAACCTGTGGTCTGCAGGTACCTATGCACAACCACCACCACCAAAATAAACCACCTATAAAAATGTGTCTGCATTATGAAAGTAAACTAGAGCATCTGTAATAAGATATATGTTCCCTTTATTTTAATAAATGGGTGTAACATTGGTAAAGAAAGCTTAAGCCAGAGAATTAAATGCCACCCTCTACATTTAATTTCTGAGATGACTACATACTAGTTTTGTCCTAGGCTATTCTCTAGCTCTTCTGTTAATAAAAGGGCCCAGCTAATCTCTTTAAAAGCCAGGATGCCTTTTCAGTAAGGTTTTCCAATACGTCTCTCCTACTTTCTATTTCCTTGTAACACCATTTGCTAGACTCTGAGACAACAATAATGTACACATCTAATTAAATATACTAATATACTTTCTATCGTGTGTAAATAACACCCAGTTTAAGTTGGCCAACAGAGATGAAAACGGACACTTGTACAATTCTGATTCAAAAAAACCCACCTAGAACAATTTTGAGATAATGTTTCTACTTCTTCTGGAGGTCCAAAGTCAGCAATTGACAACAATTCCTCAATCTGTAAACACATGAAAACAACACATATTAAAGAGCCATATTAAATTTACTTTACTCACACCTGCACCAGAAACAGACAAGTATTAAACAGTGAATATTTTATTTTCTACATGTTTGGAATATTTAGCAGAACCATTTCAAAATAGCCTTTTCCTCCATTTACATGGAACTGCTTACACTTCTTGCCTGGGAAGACTATAGCACATAGCACGACCTGGGACGACTACAGCATATTTGACACTAGTGTCAAATAGCATAACCAATCCAAGAATTCCCACAGAGTTTATTGCCTTAAGGACATTCTGAACAGGCTAGGGACTGTGTGACATGTATCATCTTTGGTTTATTCGGTCTTACTTCAGTCTTGCAAACCCTTTTTCATAACATCTTTACATTGGGATTCTTTACACTTCTTCCCCCTTTCTGCAAGTTTGGATTCCTATTGCATGTAAACTCCCTTTTAACACGACACCTAACCACTACATGCTACAGATCTAGTATGTCCAGTGCTTAAGAGATGGCACCAAAATGGGAAAATTTTATCTCATTTGACATTTTTATGCCTCCTTTTCTTTACATTACTTCCCTTCTAAGTCAACGTATTATTCTAGGAGTTGAATTGGATGGTCCTTCCCTGTCTTCCAATACTCAAAACCCAGGTTCAGCTATGTTATTTCAAGCCCTGTTATTCGAATCTGTGGATTACATAAATCTGATGACCTGCAAAGTGTGGAGAAACGATCCATCTAAGTGCTTCCCTGTGCCATTCAATGACAGAAGCTACATAAGGAGGCTTCTTACTTGTGTGGTTCCTGGTGCCTATGGACTGAAACTAAAGGTACAGCAGTCCAGGAGTTTTCATCTTCAGAAAGAGTAAGTGGTGATTTAACAAAGTTTGCGGAACAGTGATTAGTGGAACAAGTTCCACAGTAGCAGACCCGAAAGGCAGGACCTGCAGGAGTAGATAGTTTTAGCTTCACCCAGGTATGTTAATAACAGAGTAAGAGTAACGACAACGCGTTTCCATAATCACTGGTTACTTGTGGCGTTGAATTTCTTGTCTTGATTGGGGGGGGAGGCATAGTAACAAACATAAACAGCTTTCTGAAATGTTTAATTCATTTCTGTTCTTGTGCTTTTTGTTGATGCCAAGACAGCTGAAAACATTTCCACTGTGGATCAGCCTGTTGGCATGAAACTCGGAATTCTGACCGCAGACGGTTCGAGCAATTCACTGCCTTTCCAGAGCCCTTTATCCCCTCCAGCTCTGCTCACACACACCGCATGAGCTCGCCAGTCACAAAGTGACTGGGCTTGGTAGTAACACATCTAAGATGAGGCACCCCAAGGCACAGAAATGTGAACACGCTCCCTTCAACTAAAGTTCTTTCCATTCACATCACAGCTTGAGGACACATTTTTAATTAAATTCCACGCAGTGGTGTCATCGTTCTCTTCTGGAAATCTCACTGTTTAAGAGCTCTCACTTCACAGTCCTAATGACAGGAAATTCCTAGAAACCTTCATTACTCTAGCAATATTTCAACTGCTTAAAACTATCAGTAACGTGACAGAAAATATGAAATAGTAAACATTATCTTAATACTTTTATTTTCCCCACCTTTATGAGTGAGCTGACATCACCTATGCAAAGATCTGCCCTTCCCAAGAAACATTTTAATGATTCACGGATGGTTGGGGTAAAAAACCCAATTAACTCACTGATTACACTCAGTGGCATTTTAAAAATACACAACATTTAAAACGCGGAAGACCGCTCCTCAGACCTCCTTTCTATAAACAGGTATATCGGGCAACAGAAAACTGCCTACCCTATAACGTTCCTTAAAACTGTAGCTTCATTTTTTAGGATTTCTTTATTGGCCTAAGGATCTGGCCTACAAGCTTCTCTGAAAACTTCACTTCAGAAATTTTAATATTAGCATTAAAAAAGTTCATGAGGCAACAGCTACAAGGATTCTTTCACACTGTATATAAAGCATAAGCATTACTCAAGATTCTTTGCTGAAATGCAAAGATGAAGAGGAACGGGTATAGACAAAAACTGATTTTCAGTGTGGACTGGTAAAACAACTGAACGATCAGCTCTCTCCATATTCCTAAACATCACGGTTGCTAAGTCACCACATCTGCGTATCACGAGATTTGTATGTCGAGTCAAATATTACCTCTTTTACAGCTGCAGTTTCTTTGTCTTTTACAAATATTACTGGGGGTACGTTTCCTAGAATCTGCTGACTCTTCAGAAGATACCTGTCAAAAACAGCATTCACTAGTATGAGTAACAGCAGAGCACCTCCAGGACACATACCATACAGTAAATTAATTCCAGATTTAAGGATACGGCTTGCAAAATTACAGTCTGATGGATATTAATGCCAAGCAATACATCACTGCAGAATTCCAACCGTGAATGTTTAACATACAAAAACTACTGGCTGCAGATCCCACTGAGTACTGACGATACCTGATTTGTCTCCCGTACGCACAGGCTGGTGCAAGTCTTTCCCCACTTCATCTGACTTCCCTATCCTCCCTGTAGGGGTGAGAGCAGTGGGGGATAGAGCCCTCACAGCAGGGCAAGACAACTAGTCCTACAAGCTAGCTGCAGGATGGACTGAAAGGGGTCCCCTCCTCTTCTTCCCAGCCAGCCACACTGCTTCCCAAGGAGTGGAAGCTGTGGGGAGTAGAAGAGAGCACTGTGCTGGAGCAGGAATTACAGAGCCTAGGAAAACAGGGGGAAAGGAAATAGGTCTACAAGTATGCTTCCACGCCACCTTGTCCATGGGGTGAAGTCCTGACCCTCCAACAGACTGGCTGGATAGCAGAGGGTAAGCCCAGGAAAGAGCGAGACAGAAATCTGTACGATATCCTGAAAACTCACTGGACCCTCTGCCAAAAATGGGTAAAAGCATCACAATACACAGTGGCATCCCCACACTTATTTTTTGGTATCAGTATCATGAAAAATTTCCGTAATATCAGGTTTTGGCTGGGTTAAATTTTCTACATCGTGGCTAGTACAGGCCATGTTTTGGATTTGTGCTGGAAATAGTGTTGATAACACAGGGATGTTTTAGTCACTGCTGAGCAGTGCTTACACACAGTCAAGGCCTTTTCTGCTTCTCACACACCCCACCAGCAAGGAGGCTGGGGGTGCACAAGAAGCTGGGAGAGAAACAGCCAGGACAGCTGACCCAAACCGACCCAAAGGATATTCCATACTATATGGCATCACACTCAGCATATAAAGCTGGGGGAAGAAGGAAAAGGGGGATGTTCAGACAGATGCCATTTTGTCTTCCCAAGTAACCACTATGCATGATGGAGCCCTGCTTTCCTGGAGATGGCTGAACACCTGCCTGCCAATGGGAAGGGGTGAATGAATTCCTTGTTTTGCTCTGCGTGCGTGTGCGGCTTTTGCTTTACCTATTAAACTGTTTTTATCCCAACCCACAAGTTTTCTCACTTTTACTCTTCTGATTCTCCCCTCCATCCCACGGGGGTGGAGCGTGGAAAGAGCAGGTGGTGCTGAGTTGCTGGCTGGGGTTAAACTACAACAATCAGTCATCCCTTCTGGGGGTCCAAATTGTCCCTAGTGATCAGAATTGCCCAGTGAATCTGTAAGGAAATGCTTGTTGTAACTGTCGGTGTGGGGCACCATACTCTGGGGTACTGTCATGCACAGCATATCCAGCCCACCACCACGAGTACAATGAAGTGAAACTTCATCCAAACTCTCCCTCTCTCTCTGCTCAGCCCAGTCCAATCCTAGGAAAGCACAGAAGCCAAATAAGCCAGCTGTGCTCAGGCAGGAGAATACACAGCTGATCTGACACAGTCATCCTTCCCTGTAACACTCATCACAGGAGATCCTCTGACTCCAAATATCTAAAAGCCTAGAGCATCCTAACCGGTCAAATATAGATTGTTAGAGATAGTTCAGAAATGGTACTAGGATGTTTTCCAAGGGCCTGTAGTGACAGGACAAAGGGTAACGGGTTTAAATTGAAATCAGGGAGGTTTAGATTGGATATCAGGAAAAAGTTCTTCCTGGAGAGGGTGGTGAGGCACTGGAACAGGTTGCCCAGAGAAGCTGTGGATGCCCCATCCCTGGAAGTGTTCAAGGCCAGGCTGGATGAGGCTTTGAGCAACCTGGTCTAGTGGAGGGTGTCCCTGCCGATGGCAGGGGGTTGGAACTAGATGGTCTTTAGGCTCCCTTCCAACCCAAACCATTCTGTGATCCCATAGCAGTACCGTATACGTGGAGCACTCTTCCGCAGTACACTTTCAACATAACTTTGTTTCTCCATAGTAGCAGCAGGATTCCAGTAGACACGACAGGCTGAAAAGTTTGATGCCAGGGACACCTGCACCAAGACAAACGTTTCTGTAAAATGACATATAAACACACGTCATATACAACAAAGTCTCTAATTTATTAATAAGCACAAAGTGACCCAAACTGGATATGTAGATTCTTAGGAGAATTTCTTCTTCCATCTCTGTTCTTAAGATCTGAAATTACACAGTGCCTTTAAAGAAGCAGAGTTTAACACCAAGTAAGATTTACATTCAGTACCTGAAAGGACTTAATTTAGATAAGTCACTGCCTCACCTCCTCTTCGACCGATATCAGTCTGTCAACACCGGTATGTTATTGACAGTGCTACACTTATCAGTGCAACAGTGCTACCACCACAAATAATCCAGAATGACAATTTACAGCTGGTTTGGAATACAGTTAAAAGCGTGAGTTTCTGCTAAAGAAGGACCTGTGATGCTGCCTGTTTTCTTGTCACCCAGAGTTTATTTTTAATATTGACAGAAAAGAGAATGCCCTCCACGCCACTGTCACGTAAGAGTTTCTCCAGCTCTGAAGCCCGCTGAGAACCCCCAGTGCCTGAACCTCTAGCTCACAGGTAATATTCGTAACTGTCACGCATGCAATCAAAAATGCATGGTGTGCAGGGGCCAAAGCACACATGAGACAGCCTGACAATCTTCCTGAAGGATAAACTTCTGAAACACAAACTGGATTCTGAAAGATTTCTGTAACCGTCATTCATCACATCTAGCAGTGCCTTGCAGAACAGGTTCCCACTATGGCAGTACACTCAGCAAACTTCTAATAACCTGAGTCAGTCGAAGGAAGGAGCCAAGGAAAAGGGAGGAGCAAGCATAAACTACCCATTGGAAGGCACAGTTCAGAGGTCACCAAGCCCAGAAACCAACTCTTCAAACA